TTGTTTTAATGATTTATAAAACTGCATGAATAAATACACTTTATAGAGAGTAAAGTCTTTAAAAGACTGATATAAAGTGAGTTTTTTTGTAACTGCATGTTCTAATTATAATTCTTTAATTTATTCTGCAATAAATTTAAGTTATATAGCATGAAAATTTTCAGTTATTTATACAAAGATTAAAAAAGTTAAGATTTGGGAGACACTATAGGAGATTGATTTGGATACTTATTTGAACATTTTTATTTCATCTCAAACATTATGATTTATAATCACTCTTTATATGAAATCAGAACATAGACATCAAAAGTGAAAATGTTTTGATGGAATGAGTTTTCTTCATGGCATCTCAATACCATCTCTTGAAATAATAAAGATTGTCACTTGCTTATTATCATTGAAATATAAAATTAAGAAAAATTCTCAATGAAGGCAAAATAAACCACTCTTTATCTTCCTCTTGCTCTTTGAGAAAGGAGATAGTTTTCAAAAAGCTTAAGAGTCACCTAGAAAACTATTTTTTAGGGAAATGTGAATTCTATTATCTTGGCTACTTAACTGTTCTCTGTAATTAGAAATCATAATGGCTTCCTTAACTTTTGTTTTAAGAAATAAACCAGTCAAAGACTCTGAAGAAGTTTTGTAAAGCTTCAAGTCAAAGAAGTACATAGAAATATAGGGATGCAAGACTGCTCTAGGTACCTAGGCTAGGTCCCCATTCCTGTGACCATTGCAGTTACGTAGATTTCTCTGTTTCAGCTTCTTTCTCCAAATGAGATGGTTCTGATTGATTTCCAAGTAACTTCCTTTCTAGACTTTCCCCTCATTTCTGGACTCCATCATCACTTTCCATATGCAGAATTACCCCCTTCCAATTTCCTGGCATTTATCAATATTACCTTCTGGATTTATAAGATCAGCAATATCTATCAGATTTCAAACACTATGAACTTTTTTATCACCAAAACAATAATTATCCCCTATAGTAAGTAATATTGGACAGTAAATATTATGGAGTAAAAGTCATCTTCAGCACTGCCCAAAGGTTCTTCACTCTAATATTTTAAAATATTTGTTTTACTTTATGAAGTCTTGTTCTTGAAAGGACATAGTAAATGAAAATAACATACTTATAAATTGTTAAAGGTACTTTCTAATTAAGAAGAAATATGCAGAGGCTGAAGATATAGCTCAGTGAGCTGGATTTAATTCAGGCTTTTCATGCAGGAAGCCTGGGCTAGATCCACAACACTGCATGGTCCCCTGAGAGCTGCCTGAAGAGACTCACATGCACACAGCTGGGAGGGGCCTTTGAGCAACTCCATGTGTGGTCCCCAAACAAACAAACAAAAAATGAAAAGCAAAAAACAGAAATGTAAACAACATCATTCCATAATGGAAATCTGAAATCTGCCTAAAAATGTTAGATAATTTCATCACATAAATAAAAAAATTCAAAGAATTATAGTCTATTCGAACAAAACATTGGCTAAATTAGCAGTTAAGTGAGAAGAGAATTCATGTCAGTTTATGAGAAATGAGGTAACAGATATGATGCTCAGTTCTCAATTTTTCCCATAATTTCAGATTTACATGGCAATATCTTTCCTAAAGGGTACACTTTCTGCCACAAGCTACCATCTCCCTAATAATATGAGTGTGATAAACCAACCCTAGATTCCTTTCTTTCATAGGCTTCCTATGTGAAATGAATAGTTCTAAAAGACTTGGCCAGGTGCAGAAATTTAGGCAAACTTGGCTTTCAGATTCAACTCTCAAGATATTTGGGGAAAACTAGGTTGAACTGTGTACATATTTTAGTTTAGACCTTATAAAATTCTCAGTTTGACTGGAGATAACTATAAAAAAAGAAGAAATATTAAAATGTTCTTAATGTATACAAATGCCACAGGCAGTATTTCCACACCTATTTTATTTGACAGTTTCCAATGGGTGAAGATGTCGTCAATATCAAGTAGTGGTTTATAAGCAGTTATATTTAAAAGTATTTGGAAAATTATTTCTAGGAAGTAGATTTTCTTTTTCAGATCCAGATATTTGCTCTTCTTGACAGATAGCCTGACTAAATCCTCTCTGTAAAAAGTAAATCATCTTTTTATGATAATATCTGGTCATAATCATTGTTTACATAAAAAGATTGAAAGAATTTTTAGCAAAGTCAATTAGGAACAACATTTGTATATTTAGTTTTGGACATAAGCAAAACAGCAGGTTCTCAAATTTTCTCTTTTAGTTCAGTGTCATTTCATTCATTGTTGTTTCATTATAAAGTTGATGAGATTTAGAAAATCCTGGCCAACACCAAAGAAAATGACATTATCCATGAATCTTTTTTCTCATTGTCATTTTGCCTAAAATTACAGCTCCTAAGAACATATGTTAGGTACTTACTGTAGAGAGAATTTGTGTAAGAACTTTGTGTGTTAACATGTGCAGATGCTTCACACACAAATGTATATAAAAGACACAAAAGCAAAACATTCTTCTCTGCCTCATTCTGATTTCTTTCTCAAGTGAATAGTGTCAACAATCTCAGATGATTAATAGAAGATTCCCACACCAAAGTCTGCTTGGGAAAGTGTCTATTAGCACAATTGTTTCTCATCCAATAATTTCTAAAGTATTTACAAATTCCTTATATTCAGCAGTGATGGCATAATGAAAGCTTGGGGGAAGAAAATGTCTATATGAAGTACAAAAACTACTGGTTAAAAATCACATTACATCAAAAATATTTTTCAAGGATATTTTCCATTTACCTGATAGAATTTTCCATTAAAAATTATAAAACATTTAAAAAGATAAAACAGAACATTCAAGTAATCTCTTTTTCAGCTTCATCCGTTTACCAAAAATCAAGGAGTTGAACTAGATTTTTTTCTCAACTCTTAACATTCTGGTTTTAGTAAATGTATGATGTTAAAATGTGTCCTACTGTATCATTCAAATGGTTATTGAACAAGTGATTTATATTTGTGAAGCCTTACAATATAACCCTTTTAATTTTTAGATAACAATGACAAGGCCTAAGGAACTGACATAATTACCCAACAGTACTAGTCCACTGGGGTATCCATAAGTGTCATTACTTCCAAACTTCCCTAATCATCAAACTTTTTTTTCACTAAAGTCTCCAGACTGCCAGTCCCTATTCCTAAAAATTATAATACCTATTGGGTTAATTCAGGAATTTCACATTTTAAGAGAGATCCTTAAGACTTTGACTTGTAGATAGAAGTAGAAAATACAGCTGCATATCAGATGATTTAATATACAGTGATTAACTGAACAGACATGAAGCTCAGGTCTCAGTTTTTCCCATAATTCCAGATTTACATGGCAATATGTTCCCCAAAGGGTCCACTTTCTGCCGCAAGCTACCACCTCTCTAATAATATGAGTGTGATGAACCAAGTCTAGATTCATTTCTCTCATAGGCTTCCTATATGAAAAGAATAGTTCTAAAAGACTCGAGAACTAAAACAGTGGATTTAGAGCCCTTTCATATCATCTGCATCAAATCTACATTCTAGTCATTTAATTCAGCACAACTCCTGACATCTTTCCTTGTTGTAAAATATGAAGCTTATGAAGCTCTGTCCATTACTGAGCAACAGTATTGAGCCTTTTAAGGCAGTCTGGAATTTAAACATTATTTGCCTTATCTCAAGTCATGGTCTATAAGGAAGTGAAATTACCTAAATAATTAGAATATATGATAAGAATTTCTCCTTTAATATTTTTGCCATAAGAATATTTAGTCTTTCTGATGGTAATATAGAATCTTACATAGAATTACCATCCAACAACGTAGTTGTTTTTTATATAAAGACAATGGAGAGCAAAATTTCCTCTTCCTTATTAAAATTCCAAGTACCTCAACATTCAAATTTTTGTCAGTTCTCAACAGATTTTATGTTTTCACCGCATGCAAACTGCAACCAAAATATGTTTTCATACCTTACTCATGGATGCCAAAGTTTAGTTTAAGGCTTTTTAATGTAGCACACTATGAGAAATATATTAGAATTCAGCTCTCAAGGAATTATCGTTCCTGATCCTCTGTGTTAAATAAAAAAGTGAATCAGTCTTTTTTTCTACTAATAATAAGGAAAAGGTTAGGAGTTGGAAAAATTAAATGACTTTCCATTAAATATGTCTGACACAAAATAAAGTAGTTTAAATACAAACTTACTACAATGTTAACAACAAAACATTCAATATTATTGGATTTCTTTTTGTAGTCCTTGATATTTAAGGAATGTTTGTTACTAAAGTCGATGAAGTAAAATCATTATTTAGTCACATTTGTAAGGCAGTCTCACAATTCTGGTTGAGGATTAAGTATATAATTAATGTCATAACGGACTACCAAATGACATATAAAATGTTCCGTGAACATTTGATCTTTGCTTTAGAAGTCTTATCTGTTAAAATTGTTTAATATTAATTGGTTAAAGGAGTGAATAAAGAGATAAATGGTTTTAGTTTAACCTTAATGGGTTAAGAAACTATGAGTTGTTTATGGAAATACATAATATTAGCTATGTGTATAATTCTTATTTTTCAATGTAGTTGGGACCAAGGAAGTGGTGAGTTAATATGTGTACCTCAATGCTTTAAATGGATACCTGTTAAAAGGTATACAAAATATAAACAGTACTGTATATTTTCAAAATTTTTAAATAGACACAAAGAATATAAGGTATACATGTTATAATTTCAATGTCAATACTAGCACATAGGTTTTTCTTATCTAACTAAATACATACTAAGATGCTTTCTATTTCAATACATGCACTTAAGATACATAGCCATGCACAATAACCTTGCTTTCTGCCTTTAGCAAGAAAGTCAGAATATACAATATAGTACACTGTTTCAAATAAATCATATTGCAAATTAATGGAGATGGCATTAAAAATTCTGATCTGGGAAATTATAAAAAAGAAAAATAGTAGTTCCAGAGATTAAAAAACACTGAAGACTGATGGGAAGTTACGATTTCAATTGTCCCAGTGATCTTGAAAGATAAAGTACTTGTTGTAAACACTAAGAAGGCTCTTTTTGGCAATTGGGACTTTTTTAATCTTGGCAATCCAGACTAGAGACTTAGACCATCGAAGCTTCAGATTGCAGAGAAATTGTGTAACTGTGAGCTGTTCTCCGCAAGGCAGGGGGTGCTGATGGAGATCTTGATGCCCATCTGGAAGGGAGACGACGATTAGCTGGTCTAGCAGGTCGGGAAAATCCTTTTCCTTGTAAGGATTTCACAATCATGGAGTCCTATGAACAAAGGAAGACATTTAGTTCACTATACAAGCACCAATATTGGGCTTAGTATATTATGGAACCTAACATTAATGTGTAATCATACTTTTAAGCAAGAAAAGCATCTAAAACTAAGAGTTTGTGTATTTATAAAACATTTGTGATTTTAGTTGTAATCAATGAAATTTGTTTACATGAACTATGACATTTGATAATCTTATAAAGACTTTTACACAAAATTTTAATGTAACTGGCAATTTTAATGCATTATCTCTTTTTGAGAGCAAATGATTGTTTCTGGACGCAAGTGTTCATGTTACATAATCCCGATTTGATATTATAAAATGACAGATATATTTTAGAATGACTTTAGAATTTTTTTGATGTTATATTGAAAATACAAAAGATATTGAGCTCATTTATATTATACGTTTAGAGGTCACAATCAAAAAGTAAAACAAAACCATAAAATGATTAATCTGATGTGTTTTTTTCCCTTAGAACTTTAGAAATTTAATATAATGACACTATACTAAGATAAATTTAAGATAGTGACACTAAGAACTATTAACACTATTAAATTTTTCAGTTATTATTAACATACTACTTTATTTTAATTGCTATAGGATTGCTATCTACATTAAGCATCTTTGGAGAACTAATATTCTTTTTTTTTGTTTTTGCTTTTTGGGTCACACCCAGCAATGCTCAGGGGTTACTCCTGGCTCATGCACTCAGGAATCACTCCTGGCGGTGCTCGGGGGACCATATGGGATGCTGGGAATCGAACCTGTATTGGCCATCTTGGCTGCGTGCAAGGCAAATGCCCTACCCGCTGTGCTATCGCTCCAGCCCCAAGGACTAATATTCTTATCTGTCTCTTTCTTCTTAGTTCTTTTTTCTTGTGTTTCTTTATATATTAAATGATAAAAATGGAATTGAAAATGAAAAGCCATCAATAATACATTGCATACTTATTTTTACTTTTCTTTTTACTGACTTTTTAGTAAAGTGTGCTCTTTCATCTGAGACGGGCAATGTGGCTGGACTCCAATTCTATAATTTCTGTCTCTTTGCACTCTTATATTTTATATTTTCTCCTTGGGAGCAAATTAGGTAACTATTCCTAATAATCAATAGTAGAGGACTCCTTCCAAATCTCAATTAATGTTAGAGGCTGAGAATGAGGTTCAGCAGAGCTCAGCTGTGCAGATGTGAGGCCCTGGGGCCAATCCCATCACTATCAAAAAACAAAAAAAGCAAACAAACCCCAGCCAATGCAAGAAATAGTAAACAATTAACAGTATTTATTGTTAGCACTGTAGCACTGTCCTCTCTCGTTGTTCAACGATTTGCTTGAGCGGGCACCAGTAACGCCATCATTGTGGAACTTGTTGTTACTGTTTTTGACATATCAAATACGCCATGGGGAGCTTGCCAGGCTCTACGGTGCGGGCAGGATACTCTCGGTAACTTGCTGGGCTCTCTGAGAGGGAGGAGGAATCGAACCCAGGTCAGCTGTGTGCAAGGCAAATGCCCTACCCGCTGTGCTATTGCGCCAGCCCATTTACTGTTAGATATTGAAAATTAAGCTGATTATCTTATACATGTTTCTACTTCCCATCTCAAGCTACAATTACAAGTATTTATCAGCATACCTTAAAAACCGGTAACTGCCAAGCATCATCATTATCTATACTTTGTAGAAACAAGTAAATATTCTACTAATATGAATGAAGACAAATATTTTATAATGTTTAATGAACCACCCAGAAACATTTTTATACCAGTAGACAGACTGAATAATTAAAAACTGCAGCACACAAGCATCGCATTATACAAAACTAAGAATTTTTTAAACACTAGTAAAAAACTCAAGACCACTCTCCACATGCTCAGATGAGCCTCACGCATGAAGGAATTGGCAGAGGAACCCAGGTTTGAGGGACCTGGGGCTGAGATCTCCAAGCCTGCTCAGATCAGGACTGGGCTTCCTCCACCCAGATCCCCCATCTTCCAACAGCTAGATAGTTACCACCCACCAACTGCCCCTGCTGTGTAATGGCCAAGACCCAGAGAATATAAAACCAAGCTCCTGGAAGAGAACAATGCAGTCTCCTGCAGGTGTGCGACCTCTGATTGTCTAGTTCTCCCTCTTGGAGAACCTGGCAGGCTATCGAGAGTATCCTCCTGCATGGCAGAGTATGGCAAGCTCCCCGTGTCGTATTCGATATGCCAAAACCCGTAACAATGATGGCTCTCATTCCCCTGACCCTGAAAGAGCCTTCAATGTGGCACTTGCTAAAATCTTAGGGCTACGACGAATGGAGATGTTACTGGTGCCTGCTTGAGGAAATCGATGAACAACAGGATTACAGTGATACAGTGAACCTTATAATTTCTGTCTGTAAATTATGGTTCAAAAGGGATATATACTTGGTGGTCGACTCCCATTCTGTTACTTTATATTCCCCAGATGAGTGCAGTCTTTCTATGTCTGTTCCTCTCTTTCTGGCTCATTTCACTTAGCATGGTACTTTCCATGTAGTGCCACTTGTATGTAAATTTCATGACTTCATCTTTTCTAACAGCTGCATAGTATTCCATTGTGTAGATGTACCAAAGTTTCTTTAACCAGTCATCTGTTCTCGGGCACTCAGGTTTTTTCCAAATTTTGGTTATTGTGAACAGTGTAGCAATGAACATAGAAGAGCAGATGTCATTTCGACTATACTTTTTTGCCTCTCTGGTATATATTCCCAGGTATTGCTGGGTCAAATGGGAGCTCAATTTCTAATTTTTTTGAGAATCGTTCATACTGTTTTCCAAAGGGCTGAACCAGTTGGCATTCCCACTAGCAGTGAAGGTGGGTACCTTTCTCTCCACATTCGCACCAACACCGGCTGCTTTTGTTCATTTTGTAAAAGAATGGGAGTCGAACACCCAAGAATAGTTGAGATAAGTATCAGGAGGTCTGCTCCATGGCTTGGAAACTGGAAGCACATGCTAGGGGGAAAGGCAGCTCAGATAGAAAAAGGAACACCAATTAAAGGATGTTTGGAGGATTCGCTTGGGATGAGAGATGCATGTTGAAAGTAGAATATAGACCGAACACGATGGCTACTCAATACATCTATTGCAAACTACAATACCCTAAAGGAAAGAGAGAGCAAAAGGGAATGCCCTGCCACAGAGGCGGGGTGGGGGGGATAGGTTGGGGGTGGGAGGGCTATTGGGATCATTGGTGGTGGAGAATGGGCACTGGTGGAGGGATAGTTACTTGATCATTGTATAACTGAAACCCAATCACAAAAGTTTGTAAGTCTACAACTGTACCTCAAGGTGTTTCACTATAAAAAAAAAAGAGAGAGATTTATAAATAGTTCTTTACTGCATTTTTCTTTTTCTTTCTTTCTGTTTTCTTTCTACAGTGATGGGGGATGAACCAGGGTGTCACATGTGCAAGGCAAAAATCTGCTGAGAGCTCATTTTAAGTATCAATTTAGTCAGTTTATTTTTTCTGCCATCACTTATAAAGGTTAAAGTGTTTTTGCAAATAGACTGAAAAAAAGAGGATAATAGTTTATGTAAACAACCAGCTTAGGAATAATTTCAATGCTAAGAATTGTACAAATACAAATAATTTTTGGTTATAACTTCATTTTTATTCCAATTCCTGCCTTTTATCTCCATGAGTGAAATAACTTTTTTAGGCACCTTTAAAGAATTAATTTATTTAAATTCTTATTCCCTCCGCTCAATTCATTATTATTTAAAAAACTAGATAAAGGTAGAACTTAATTTCATTAAAAATAGAAACAAGATTATAGACATTTCTTTCCATTTCTGAAAACATTAAGAATTAGGCATTAATTTTAATGATGTACTTTATTCAGAGTTATGTGACTAATACATTGATAATAAATCAAATGCAGAGAATGACTGAACCCATCACAGCTAGTAACTTAATATTGAGGGCAATTTAAAATATTATTTCCCATATAATTCTTAAGATATAAATACTTAAAATAATAAAATCATATAAATCAAGACATGCAGAGATGCTCATTCAAATAAGTTTTCAAAAAAAATTACAGTTAATCTACTGAGACTCTTAATTCCATTTATTATATTTATTGTGTTGCATTTATATTTATTGTGTCCCATTTATATTTATTGTGCTGCATTTTAGAACTTAAAAACTTTAAGGCTCTTAAAAACTATACTTCAAAAAGTTTATTTTGAATTGCAATCCTAAAGTTAATATTTATTCACAAGGGGTCAGTAAGCTAAGTAGAATCCAAAACAGGTGTTAACATTCTATTTACTGAGCAATTACTGAAGTCTTGAGCCACAGTTAATTATGGAGGCACTTTAACCAAAATGTTAATTACTTTCTTACCTATGAACGGAATGACAGTGCTATAGTGCTACTTTCTTACCTCTGTATTTTTTTCCCAATCTATTCCTTGCATCACTTGTTGTGGCCCACACATGACAGATGTTTTCTGTTGAAGGTCTTGCTCGAGTGGGGGCATTTCTAAATGCTGACTTGATGTGGCCCCACCAAAGACATCATAATTACATTTGGTCCAATTATCCTGTGAACATTTAGAATTATGCATTGCAGATCCTGTTGATGTCTTATAGGTTTTCAGAAGCTTTTCCACAACACCATAATTTGACCTGGGGTCAGCAGATCTTGGTCGACCAGACAAATTACTTGGTCGCCAGTCATGCTCATGGAGCGTATTCCGATAACTGCTAGAATTTACATGTTCCTGTACTTGTCTGACCAGGCCTGTTGTAGACTTTCTGGTGAGATTATGAGGCACATTTTCCCTGGACACAGGCATGTGGGCACAGGTCTTCAAAATATCAGACGCAATGTTATTTTCTGATTTGTGACCAGTGTGAGTAATCAAGGTATTACAAGGCTTAAGATCATCAGATGACTTGGAGTAGCTTTGACTTTGCTCCACTACACGGCAATTTCTATCTGTTCTAAATACAGTTCTGTTAAATTCATCAGTTTTTGCTGCCAGCTTTTCATTCCTTCTAGTCCTTTCAAAGCCACAACTAAAATTTCTATGGGGGTCACTGTTCTGTATCACTGAAGAACTGCAGTCATTGTTTATGTGAAGATCAGGATGAAATTTAACAGGGTGGTCTGGGATCACTTTTTCATATTTTAGTTTACTGGGAGCAGAGCAGGTTTTCTGAAACCATGATGCAGGATTATTTTTTGATCCCATCTCAAAGTCACATGACCACATACTAAGTCCAACATTTTCATTATATAGAGGTTTGTTATCTTTTTTGGTTTCTGGTGCTAAAGAATACTTGATACAATTTTTTGAAGTCTTCCCTTCATTTAGGTATACAGGCATTTTACTGTGACCCAAAGGAATATGAGGACTGCAATTCCATTCACTTTTACTCTCTTGGGATATCCAGCTATTGTAGTCTAAATTTTCTTTCAAACTTTCACGGATTTGTTCAGAATATGAACTGGGAAAATTTCGAGAAGTGCTTCTTGGAGGGGGAAGAGGTGGAGTTTCATTTCTTTGCAGAGAAGTTATATCAGTTCCACATATCTTCATAGGATTGCTTTGGACTACATCAGTACAACATAGATTCTTTCTATTTTGTTGTTTTTCCTTTTCTAAGTTGACTGAAAGAAAGCACTGGTCATTGTTACTCATCATGTTTCCATCAGGTACATTAATTTTTGGATTTTCCTGCAGAAAAGAATCTGACTTCATCCTATACGTGATAAAACATAATATATAAGCAATAATTTTCTTTATGATAGTTCTACTTTTTGGTTTTCAGGTCACACAAAGCAGTTCTTGGGACTTGCACCTGGCTTTATGCTCAGGGTGCTCAGGAGATCACAAGTGATGCTGGAAATCAAACCCTGGTTGGCGATATGCAAGGCAAGCATCTTACCCACTATTTCTGGACTGACCCCAAAGTAGTCTTTAAAAAACAAAACATAACAAGGCTTAGGCTATAGAATTCTGCTACTGTAAGGTAAAACTCCTTTAAGAGTTTCTTTCAAAATTATATATAATCTAACTCAAACTATGTTTCCAACATGTCTTATCCTATTACTTGAAATTTCACCCATACTCAGACTACAGTGTGTAATCCTTATGTGTCTTAAATTGGTAGACCTGTTTTTGTAATTTTTAACTTATCATTTCCTTATTTCCCCTCTTTCGACCAAATCCGTAATTCATTTTGTCCAATGAACTCAAGTTTTTTCCATTGAATTTGAATAAAATTCTAAATAGTATGAAAAAATCTAAATAAAAGTGAAAGTAGGCCAAAATCTTTATAAAGGATAGTAATTTCAAAGCAAAAAGGTCATACATAAGTATCATGTGGGACTGAAAGAGAAATAAAAATTCTAAAAAATGAGTAGTGTACATGGTGCATAGGCAAGGTGAGCATTATGAAAAATAGTGTATTTCTTCAAGGCACAGTGAAATCTTTGATATGGATGTATTATACAGCAAGTTGAGGAAGATTAAAGAAAATAAGAGAAAAACTTTAGGTTAAATGATAATATTTTGAATTACACATTAAAGATTGTGTTTGTTGTTTTAGGGCTGGAGCGATAGCACGGTGGTAGGGTGTTTGCCTTGTGCACAGCTGGCCCGGCCGAGCCAGGTTTGATTCCTTTGCCCCTCTCAGAGAGCCCGGCAAGCTACCGAGAGTATCTCGCCCGCACAGCAAAGCCTGGCGAGCTACCTGTGGTGTATTCAATATGTGAAACACGTCTCACGATGGAGACGTTACTGGGCCTGCTCGAGCAAATCGATGAACTATAGGAGGGCAGTGACAGTGACAGTTTTTTTGGTCACACCAGGACAGTGCTCAGGGATTACTCCTGGCAGTGCTCAGGGGACTATATGTGACAGGAACTGAATCTGGAAGGTAAGTCCCTTACTTATTATACTATCTCTCTGGCCCTACATTTTAATATTTTTCCTAACAGCTATGGTATGATAAGGAGTACATTATATCAAGTGTAACTTGTAAAATAAAATTGGCATCTAAATTTTACTGAGTTATCAGAACAAAATAACCAACACACCACTTGTACCTGATTTAGTATTTCTGGGAAAGTTGAAATTCAGTCACATAAATCCACTGAGACAGCCACTTGACTTAAATGAATGACAGTCTCATCATTGTGTCTTTCTATTTTGGTGCTTCTCCTTGTATTAAAATTTTTTTAATTATATATCATGACTATGTAATTACATAGTTATTAATTATAATAGTAACGATGGTTTGAGGCTCTTCATGTTCCTAGAACAAGCAGATGCCATTGGGCTATGCTAGCACGCAACAGGGATGAATGGAGACGTTACTGGCGCCCGCTCGAGCAAATCGATGATTAATGGGATATCAAGTGATCAAATGATGTAATTACATAAAATATTGCACTATTAAATTCGATTTGGTCAAAAGAGGCAGTAATTTAGATTAGCCTAGCTGTATATATTTCTACTGGAAAATAATAAAAATGACAAAGAATACATTAGAGGGCATAATCTAGTATATTCTTTAGAAGAGGAGGCTATAACTTAATATGGAGAAAGTATTCCTCACATTAAAATTACACTGAGAATAAAAGATTTACTTTAAGAATCAGTGAATAGTTTGGAGGATCCTCCCAGGAGGGGAGATGCATGTTGAAAGTAGACTATGGACTGAACATGTTTGCCACTCAATGCCTCTTTTGCAGACCACAACACCCAAAAGGATAGAGAGAACAAAAGGGAATGCCCTGCCACAGAGGCAGGGTGGAATGGGGGGGGGGGTGTGGGAGGAATATTATCCATGGTGGTGGAAAGTGGGCACTGATGGAGGGATGGTATTTGATCATTGTATAATCGAAACCCAAGCACAAAAAATTGTAAATCTACAACTGTACTTCATGGTGTTTCACTAATAAAAAGAAAAAAATAATCAATGAATAGAAGAATACACATTTTTAAAAAGACAGTAAAGGTAGTGTGGATTTATAAACTAAAAGCAATATTTTTCTTGCCTTTCCAAAATAAAACATCATAGATAAACCAGCCTACCGTCTGTGGTTAGACCGTTTTCGAATTTCCTCTTGAAAGTTGCATAAATCTTCACTAACTTTGGCAAGTTCTTCAAGAGCCTTAATACATATAAGAAATAGTATGTTAGCATTTTGCAATATAAGTATTTCTTTAGAAATAGTTCGGAGATAATCATATCCTACTTACTGTGTTCAGGGCACCACAACAACTCTTGCTTTCTTCCTTAGAAGTCTTTAGGTTAAGAAAATCCTCACATTCCTTTAGGTTATCTGTAGCCAAAGGATCCAGAAACCCCACTTTTGATTTTTTGGTTGCTTTTTCTTCCTTACAAATTTGATGTGCTTCACTTGGCAAACTCTGCTCTGTTTTATTTTCTTTTTCCAAACCATCTCTGTGATTCATTCCTGTAAATTCACATTGACCCAATCTGAGATAACTTGGAGAACATTCCACCATTTTATCTTGAGTGGCCTTTTGATTAAGGATCTTAGCACGTTCATTAATGTTCATTTTCCTCCTAAGCTTTACTTCGTGGCAAAGCTGTAAAGAAAAAAAAAAAGATGAACTATTTTACTCCCTGATTCACTTTGTAATATGTTTGATACTAAGCACACTGTTTGGAGTTCTTGTTGCCATACTACTGGGAGCTACTGTGGAGTGTTCCAAACAGACCTCCTAAAATCTGGATTAGCTGAAGCAGCTCTGATGACACATAAAGATCTTTTAGAAGATTAAAGCATGAATAGCAATTTTTCTCTGTAGAATTTAGCCTATGAAAAAATATTAAGCCCATTTCTACACATCAATATCATGATGATATAGCACTTCACAAAATTGGAAGTTTTTTCTCCCTCCCCACAATCAGTGACTGACCATTATCTCTAATTGTTTTCAGAGAGAAGCAGTTTAACCTGGGGTCATATTTTCCCCTCCCCTTCCATTCATTGTTGTGTTTTGTATGTACATAGACATATATACAAAATGTCTATATATATATTTATATAAAACATATATAAAACATATATGTCTATATATATATTTATATAAAACACCAAGTTAGCTGAAATATATATATACATATACACACACACACACACACATACACACACACACATTATAGGTATGTTTCAGCTAACTTGGTCACAATAGTGTTAGAGTTTATGATATACGCAATTACCTCATTTCACTACTCCCAAAGTTCCCAAGGTTCTCCACTAATGTCCCAATGTCGCTTTTCACCCCCGCACCCCAATAACCAGCTTTTTCTGTAACAGGGACAAGGATCTGTTGACAGTTCCTTCCTTTGTTTTGTTTCTATGCATGTCACAACAAGTAAGATTATCTGATATCTGTCTTTGTCCCTCTAGCAAATTTCACTTGACATGACTGATATCTCCAGCACTATCTAGGTAAAGTGAACTACAATATTTCATATTTTTTAGGGCTGTATAACATTATAAAGTATATTTAAGCCACAATTTCTCTGTCTATTCATTTATCATTAGAGAATTGGATTGTTTCTATATCTTATTGTTTACATTTCCATGATTGTTGTGCTAAGTGTTGCATGTAGGTGTGCATATATCTTTCCAAATTAATGTCTTTGTGTTTAGAGAATAGATGCCAAGATGTGAAATTGTGGGGCTGGAGCAATAGTACCACAGGTACGGCATTTTCTTTGCACACGGTTGACCTGGGTTCAATTCCAGCAACCCATATTGTCCCCTGAGCACCGCCAGGAGTAATTCTTGAGTGCAAAGCCAGGAGTAACCCTTGTGCATTGCTGGGTGTGACCCAAAAAGAAAAAAAAAGTGAAATTGCTGGACCATAATGGGATTTCTATTTTTATGTTTTTGAGAAATATCCAAACTAGTTCCACAGAGGCTGAATGAAACAGCATTCTCACCAACAGTCAATAAGATTTACATATGTTGTCTTTATGAATGTTGAGGGCAAGTGTCTGTTCATCTCCTGTTCATCTCTTCTCCCTATTTTTGACGGGGTTATTATTGTTTAAGTTGTGAGTGAATTCTACATTTAAATATTTGCCCTTTATCTTCTGTAGAATATACAAATATCCAATTTTGAGCTTCTTTTATCATGTTAAAAACCCTTTAATTTGATGTTATTCCATGTGTTTATTTTATTTATTATCTTTGACAGTAGAATCAAACCATTGAAAATAATTCTTAGCAGTAGTGCCTATGTTTTCCTTAATGTATTTAATGGATTTTAGTCTTATCTAAGATCTTTAATCTATTTTTTTTCCTTTTTTTCTGTTTTTTATTTTTGGGTCACATCCAGCGATGCTCAGGGGATACTCCTGCCTCTGTACTCAGAAATTACTCCTGGCGATGCTCAGAGGACCATATGGGATGCTGCGGATCGAGCCGTGGTCTGCTGCGTGGAAGGCAAATGCCCTACCCGCTGTACTATTGTTCAGGCCACTTTAATCCACTTTTAAAGAAATTTTGTGTATAATATAAGAATATCAGAATTAAATCCAGTTTCTTTTTTCTTTTTCTTTTTTTTCTTTCTTTTTTTTTTTTTTTTGGTATATGACTATTCAGTTTTCCCAACATCATTTGTTGAAGAGATTTTCTTCCTTGATCCACTTCTTGTACCCAGATCCTTTGGATAGATTGTCTACAAGTCTGAGAGTTTATTCCTGGGCCCTCTATTCTATTGGTTTAAGAGTTTACATTTAGCTTAGTATCATACTGTTTGTGATTACAATAACTTTATAGTATATTTTGAAGTCAGGAAGTCAGGAAACGTCTTCCACCCAGTTTCTTTTTTCTCCGAATGGCCTTAGGTATTTCATTGAGTTTTATAGTTTTGATTTAAAGAAGGCCTTTGATTCTGTTGAGACGGAAGCGGTCATTGAAGCCCTAGCCAATCAGGGCATTCAAGCCCAATACGTCAGGATCCTCCGTGAGCTGTATTGCGGATTCACTACCAGGATCTCACCATTCTACAAAGAAGTGATCGTTGATGTCAAGAGAGGGGTGCGGCAGGGTGATACCATTTCACCGAAACTCTTCAGTGCCACCCTCGAGAACATCATGCGACGACTGGAATGGGAAGGAATGGGAGTGAAGATAGATGGTCGGCAACTACACCACCTCCGCTTTGCTGATGACATTGTTTTAATAACACCAAACATCAGCCAAGCGGCACAAATGCTGGCCGACTTTGACCGTGAGTGTGGAAAGGTAGGACTACAGCTGAATCTTATGAAGACAATGTTTATGAGAAACAGCCTCGTTCCTGACACCCCATTCGCTCTCAATGGAACGACCATCTCCGAATGCAACAGCTATGTGTACCTAGGTCGAGAGGTCAACATGACAAATGACCTGGCACCCGAGCTGCGCAGGAGGAAGAGAGCAGCTTGGAATGCCTTCAAGAACGTCGAAGAAATAGCTAAGAGGACGAAGAACCTCCGGCTCCGGGGACATCTCTTTGATTCCACTGTTCTTCCTGCATTAACATATGCCTCAGAGACCTGGGCCCTACGCAAACAAGATGAGAACGCCATTCAGGTCTCCCAAAGAAGAATAGAAAGAGCTATGCTTGGAATATCACGTTTCACTCAAATGAGAGAAAGAATCCAGAGTTCTGACATCCGTCGAAGATCAAGAATCAGGGACGCTGTCTCATTTGCCAAGGTGTCGAAAATCAGATGGGCTGGTCACGTAATGAGATTTAAAGACGACCGCTGGACTAGAGCTGTTACCGACTGGATTCCATGGGATGTCAAAAGACCGCGTGGCCGCCCACCTACCAGATGGTCAGACTTCTTCATCAAGATCATGAACGATCGGTTTGAGGCCCTTCATGTTCCCGGAGCGAACAGATGCCATTGGGCTACACTAGCACGCAACAGGGACAAATGGAGACGTTACTGGCGCCCGCTCGAGCAAATCGACGACTAACGGGAAGTTAAGTGATTAAGTGATTATAATTCATAAAAATTTTAGGAGAGATAGACAGAGAGAGAGAGAGAGAGAGAGAGAGAGAGAGAAGAAAAGTGCCTACCACAGAGGCAAACTGGGGGTGGAGGGGTAGCAGGAGGGAAACTGGGGGCCCTGGTGATGGGAAATGTACACTGGTGAATTCAGGGACACATGTTGAAACACTGTATGACTGAAACCTCATCATGAACAACTATTTAAAAAAAATTGTTGCCATGTTCATATCCCTGTCCAAAAAAGAAAAAGTAGATTTGTTCTAAGTCCTTAAAGAAACACAGTTAGCTGTAGTTTACCAGATACCATACCTTTTTTGCTTTGCTGTATCAGGGATCTAAAACAGCAAGTGACTCCTGAATCCCACTTGGTATTTGGGAAAATCCAACTTTCAGGCCTCACACCTATCAGGCAGATACTCAACATTGAGCTAAGACCAGTACATCTGAAATTATATTCTTAAATATGATTCTTAAAAAGTTCTAATTTGTATGCCAACATTCAACTGTCAAAATAGTCGACAATCTCTTATAGTTCATTCTGTTCCCTTATAAGACATTTTGTGATCAAAATATATTTTATTTGAAGGTTATAGCAATAAAGCAGGGCTAGATATTAGTGGTATTTTTTAAAAGTCAAGTATTATACATTCTAAAATATTTTCTGTCCTGATTAAAACATATCGGGACAGAAAATATTTTAGAATGTGTTACATACGGGATCCACTCCAGGCTGTTTTCACTAGGGGTGCCCCAGAGTGGGGCGGGTGAGAGGCCTCCCCACCCAAGGGACCCAGCCCCAGCAGCTGACCTCTACTACTCAACCGCCACCATGCTCCAAGCCCTTTCCGGACACATTTTAAGATACTTCCTACCCATTTTCCATAATTACCACAGCATATTTTAAGGGGTTCAGACATTAGGCAACAAATTGTAGAGAGAAATATATAAATATATGCCTCTTGGAGAGCCTAGCAAGGTACTGAGAATATCCTGCCCACATGAGCAGAGCCTGACAAGTGTATTCGATATGCCAAAAACAGTAGCGACAACAGGTCTCATTCCCTGTCCCTGGAAGCGCCTCCAATCGTTGGGTAAAGATGAGTAAGAAGAGGTTGCTAAAATCTCAGGGCTGGAAGGAAAGGAGACATTACTGGTGCCTGCCCCAGTAAATCGATGAACAAGGGGACGACAGTGATACAAGATGGAATATAATAGAACTCTAGGCTTTCATTATCTTTTAGTTTATGTTAGCGTGGAACCCAAATGATTTCTTTGTTTGGAAACAAAGGAGTTTGGGTCACACCCAGCTGTGCTCAGGACTTATTCCAGGCTCTATATTCTCGGGGCTGCTCAGGAAACCATATGTGGTTCTGGGGATCTAACTGGGTCTAGCTGCCTGCAAAGCAGTGCCTTTATCCCTGTACTATCTTTCTAGAACAAACCCAAATGATTTCTTGATGAGATCCTAATTTTTCTTTCTTTATATTCTCCAGTTTTGGGCCATACTCCACAGAGGTCAGAAGCTACTTCTGGCTTGATACTCAGTGGTTTGGGGATTGAACACAGGCATCCTTCAGACAATGCATGTGCTTAGCTAACCGAGCTATCTCCTCAGTTTGGTAAGGCTAGCTTGTCCCTCGATAGAGTAAGAAAATAGCTTTATGTTCAAGCTTGAGTTCTGAGAAAGTCTGTTAAGTGTTAAAGGAGACTGTCAAATACCTATTAAAACAAATGACTTTACATTTTACAGTCACGTCTAGTATGTGTACTGTATCTTTTATTTAAGGAACTCAATAATGGATTTATTGCTACTCAATATTTACACAAATCTCAGATGAGAAAAGCAAAACACAGTTGATGCCCAAGGGCAGATGATGCATATGCATTCACTTCCATACTTGTAAATCTATCACCAGGTGAAGTCAGGATAGCAACAAATTGCATAAATCAACTGTTTTGGCCCCAGTAAAATTACTCACAGGTAATTTTTGTGGGCATTATAATTCTGGCTCACCTTGACATATATTAATTGTACATGTTAAACTTAAGGATGCTTTTAGTGATATGTACTCTTTTTGAGGGACTATGGTTAAAACTGTAATTGCATCAGTTTCAAAATCAGGTACGAAAGTGTTTTTTTGAGAAAAAAAGATTTGCTTATGCTTTCTCAATACTGACAAGTATGCTTCTGATCACTATTGTATTATTCCAGGTTAAACTGAAAGGTGTTTAATGGGAATAAAATAGCTGTTTGCATCAAAGTTATGGAAGGTTATTTTCAATGTCTCTTTCTAAATAAGTGTTTCAACAAATATGGCATACCTGTAGAGTCCTAGAAATAGAGACTTGTTACATATATTTCACATCTGATCTTTTCTTTTGTCTTCATCTTTCTCTTTTAGTCTGGGCATGTATTACTTTATATAGACTTGTATATGTCACCTTAGATTCCCTTGGGTACTTGAGAGATGCATGAATAAACAATATGATATTTGTTATTGATGGAAAACCATTTATTTTGTACAGAAATCTGTGATACTTGGTACCTACTTTTTGTCAATGTTTACTGATTCTTTGAATAACGAATATAAACAAGAAATATTTTTATTATGATAGTTAAAATAATACCATGCATCTATGAACCTTAACATTTCTATTTTAAGTATTCCAGGTTTTATTTGATCTAGGTATGTATATCTTGGTTTAGTAATACCAAAATGTTGGGAGCATGTTGGGAGCAGAGAAGACTAAGAAAAACAGGAGGGGCTCAGAGATAGTACAGTGGGTAGGGCTGAATAAAAATTATGTTCCTGCCGGTTACAAAGCAAATGGGGGGTTAAAAACTACCATCAGGATGATGAGGAAAGTACAGTGGTGATATTGGGTATTGGCAGGTATCCTCTATGGGAATTCCAAGTCAGCATATTTTTGAAACATTCCTCCAGGTATGGAGCAGTCTAGTACTAACAATAAGACACATAATACTACATACACAGCTATTATCACAGAACGTGGAAGGGAAAACATTTTTTTTTTGCTTGTTTGTTCTGGGGACAACACTCTATGGTGCTCAAGGGTTAATCCTGCCTCTATACTCAGGAATCTTCCTTGAAACTGCATGGGAAACATATGGGATGGGGAGGATCAAACCTGGGTCTGACAGGTGCAAGGCAAGTACTCCACTCACTGTATTATCTCTCCAGTCAACTGGAACAATTACTAAAACCTTCCTGTCTCAAGAACTATTCTCAGAGCGATATAACAATGGGTATGGTGTTTGCCTTGCATGCTACTAACCCGGGGTTCAATCCTTGGCATCACATATGATCCGATAAGCACTACCAGGACTGACTCCTGAGTGCAGAGACAGGAGTAATCAATCCCTGAGTGTTGCCAGGTGTGGCCCAAAAACCAAAAATCAAAAACAAAATCCAAGAAAAGCCTACTGTCTTTTTGATGCTGAAAAGGATGGCAATTAATAATGTTTGCCTTAGATGAAATATACAGAACTATACACAGAATTATCAGAATCATTATTTTATAATACCTAATATAAACAAGTAGGATATCATTTCAGTTACTAGGATGTTAGGATGGACTAATTCTCACTTGTAATTATTATGACCAGATGCCTCCACTATCCCTAACCATTATTAATTGGACTTTGAGGTCCTTTGGGAGGCAGTGACCCATGACTTCAAATCAGTTTCTTATTAAATAGGAGTTTTGAATTCTGATTTGACTAGGCACATCCTTGTTGATCTAATATAAGTCCCCAGGTAGAGGAGTTAAGAGACTGATCAAAGTATCAAAGTACATTTTAGAAGGAAATATAGAGGGAAAAGTACATTCTCTTTTTAATCATTAATCATATGTTACATGCTTGTCTTATCTTTCTTTTTGAGAATAGTTTCACAGTTACTCTTTAAAATGTTTTCCTTTTAGCATAAAAAATTATATTTTATTCAAAACCAATTATATAGCTATTATGAAAGGTATTTTCAACATAAACACATAAAGTACCAACTATAATGGTTTATTAATAAAAATCATTATACTGACAATGTGAAAAAACCTAGTAAGCCAATAATATGAATATTATCAGAAGAAAGCCAGGTAGGTATAAATACTTTGAAATATAAATATGTAAAGAAAATGTTTCAGGTAAAACAAACTGAGAAATGCTTAGCAGGTATAAAATGGCTATTTGTATGAAAGTTATGAAAGGTTATTTTCATTGCCTATTAATAAATATTTCAATAAATTTGGCATATATGAACAGAAAAAACATTGAGTTCACTGTCATGTTCTATTTGATATGTCACATATCCTTTGATTATGCCAAGCTGCTATAATTTGACAGAGATCATGTCAGGAAAAAACTGGTTTTTAAATGACCAATTGTATTTTTGTTAATTATGTGCTTAACAAAGTATGTTATTAATGTTTCCTTATAGTGTCCTATATTTGAATACTCGTGCAAAATACATACCTCACTTTTGATACCAAGGCATTTGAGTCAGAAATAAACTGATACATTTTTAAAGTGATAAGTCAACTTCTTAACTTTATGTGAGCCAATAAAATAAGCATAGTGCCTATGTAAGATGCTATTTTTGCTCTAGTAAATGTCACTCCGACATGAATCTCTTAGGTGGAATAAGAAAAAGCTTTCAATACAAAACAAACTTTGACACAGCTTTCATTTTAAGCTTTAAGTTCATAATGCATTAAGTATAAACCAACTGGTACCTCCTCTATCTTCTTTTGCATAATTTTCCATTGACTTTCCCATTCTTTTCTTTCATTGTCAAACTGGTCCAGTAATTCCATCTTTTCCTTGTGCCAGTTGATCTCTGTGTTCTCCCACTGCTTATGTAGGTCCATGGCAACGGTATGTTAGTGAAGGGGTGTTTCTGCTTGTCTCTGCTTTCTCTTTACTGTTCCGTGGAAGCTTGAAATTATTTTAAGCAGTCTCACTTGCCTTTAAAATAAAGCCTAATAAAACATAAAGAGAAAGAGAAATCCAAATTTTTGTATTTCCTGAAAACATTTTGATCAAGAACCAGTGACCTAAAGTAGAGGAAAATTGGATTCATAACACAAAATAACAACAATTTGATTAAGAAGAGACTAACATGGAGGGGGAAGGTAGTGTCTTGGTCTAGTACTTTTCTTCATTTTCAAGACTAGATAACAAAATTATAGTGGACAAGATGGCTGAGCACTCGTGAAATATAAGTATTTCTTTAGCTAATCACTTAAACTAAAGGTAGAGTTTTTAATGAATACCAAAGAGTGGAAGTGTTGAAGTTCAACAGATTGGTCTCTTCTATAAAACCTGGAGCTGGAGGGATAATACGGAGGGTAGGATGTCTGTCTTGCATGTGACAGACCAATTCAGGTTTGATGCCTCACACCTCATATAGTCCCTTGAGCCCATCACGAATGATCACTGAATTCAGAGTCAGGAGTAAGTCTTGAGCATCACTAGGTATGGCCCCCTCCTGACCTTGCCAACCCTACAAAAGTTAGATTTACTCTTCTAATACAACCAGACAAGATCATATATTTATGAGACTTAAAGTCCTCAGCCAATATGGGAATTCAGTCTCAATTTACATTCAGAGTTCAAACTAGGGCCAGATGTGATTATTGTATTAACAAGGACCCTAAAGTTGGTAGTTAACTGGAAATAATGAAAGATAAAAGTTATAAAAATGTATCAGTCATTTTTACTTCTTTGAATAAAGTATAAAAGCAGAAAAACTTCTAGGTACCACATGTTAAAATTTATTTATGCTCTTTTTATATAGTGTATACTAGAATTTACTTAACATACTAAGGTGAGAGAACTGGAGAAATAATTTTTCTCAGTTTGCTAGATATTTCCAGTAACATTAAGCAGTGACTGGAATAATTAGATTTATAAGTTTTAAATTAAGTGTATTTAGGCTTTGATGATAATTTGTTTATTTTTAGTAATAAGCAATCTAAAATGTTTTATGATATTTATTTTACATAAAAATATGAATATTCACAGTTTATAAAAACTAAATGACATATGGGCATATGGAATGAAAAATAGCTTAAGACTTTACCTAATTTTTTGCCTTTATTTTATTTTTTCTCTTTTTATAATTTTTATTTATTTGTATATATTTCTTGAGTCACTATGAGATAAGAGTTACAAAGTTGATATGGTCAGGTTTTAGTCATACACTGTTCCAACACCCATCCCTCTACCAATGTCCCACTACTATTTTCCATGATCAATGTCCCCAGTTTCCCTCCTGCCACCCACTCCCCAGCCTGTATCTATGGCAGGAACTTTCCTTCTTTCTCTTTCTGTTTTTGTCTCTGTCTTTCTCTCTGTCTCTCTCCCTGGGGCATTATGATTTGCAATAGAGGTACTAATAGGTTATCATGTTTGTTCCTTTACCTACTTTCGGTGAGTAATTCTTATCCAGAGTGACCATTTTCAACTATCATTGTCATGATGATCCTTTTTCTATCACAACTGCCTTCTTCCCCAGCACTTGAGGTAGGCTTCCAACTGCTGACCAACCCTCCTGGCCCTTGTTTCTACTGTCCTTGGGTATTGGTATCATATTATGTTGGGGTTTACTTTTTTCTTTTAATAAAACTTGCACCAACTTTCATTGAAAATAATTTTTATTAGTAAAGTCATATAATTTTAATAAAAGATGTTTAAAATGTTCAAGATAATCATGTCTTAAGAAGTTCAACTGTTCAGTGTTCTAAGTTATGGCCAAAATGTCTTAACTGCCTGAAATTTATACCAATATGGATTAAGATTCTGAGAGTTACTAACTGCCTGGGCTCTGCACTGCGAAATAAAATTGAGAAGACTGGACAATAATTCCCATTGTCCCAAACTTAAGATAACACTGAGGGCTATTTTTTAAAAATATTATTCAACACATATATCCAAGTGGTAAATATATGTAGATATATATATTGACTTTCAAGATGTGAAGTTATTAGACTAATATGAATCAAAATTGTTTTTACTATATGTTTTTACTATCTCCCAAAATACCCTAGTAAATTGAAATCTATATTGCTGGTTTCCTATCACTTTCCTACAGATTCTTTGATCAATTTTACCTATTTATTTGGCACTCACAATAGTATGATTGATTCACACAAGAAGATATAATAGCATATTGGGCGCTGAGATATGCTCACTTTTTTATTTATTTTATCCAATTAGTTATGCTTTTTTCTGATCACAGTTTTCATCCGATTACCCTTCTTCTCACTTGCTACCTTCCCGTAAGGACGTGCTTGAGAAAATCCAAGTTGTCCCCAAATAAGCATGTTACTGAAAAAATTAATTAAAATAAAGATGGTAAGGAGCACACAAATTTGAGACAAAAGGGGTTGAAGGGTGATTGAGCAATTCTCAGCTTTTCTTTGCTCTCCTGGTGATGTTGATAGGACCATAGGACAAGCAAGTATTTTACCAACGGTAGTATCCTTCCAGCACCTAGAATTTTGGTTTTTGTTTGGTCAATATGCTATTGATCTTGAACTCCTAGCAATTTTTTAGTTTTGTATTATAGTTATTCACATTGAATGCAGATGGTATGTATTTACAAAGCCTAGCAGACATCTTTAAAACTGTGTGTAATTAACTGTGAGCTGAAACCATCTTTTTTTTACAAGCAGGTATTTAACACTGAACTTCACAGGAAGAGTGGTGTGGTTTAACATAGCAAGTGATAGTTGAAAATTTAACCATGGAAGTTACAGAAATGGAATTCTTTTTAACCAATTTAGAAAATACTTCAGTCTAACTTCTTAAAACTTGGAACATATCCAGAAATCATCACAAATTTTCCCCTTACAATTATGATGTAGCAAATAGTTCAATTCTTTTCCCCATTCCTTTTATCAGCTTACAGACCAGTTTAAAGGTACCAGGGCCTTTTCCTTTTGAACTGAAGAAAAGTGTCCTGTAAATATCTTAATCATGCTTGCTATGGTATTAACCCTATACATAAATACAGGTAATGTTCTCAGATTAGAGATGAATCTCCACTTAATTTCAAAAAGCCAAAATCATTACTTAATATGAAAAAGGGCTGACCTACAGAACTTCTCTTTCCAGGGTCAGCAAGTTTCTTATTGCCAAGGTATTTAATGATTATGAATCAAAAACAAGACTTTGAGAGAAAATTCCTGTACAATATTATCTTAGCCCATTTTAAGGTGATTTGTTTAAGCACCTTACCATCTCTCACTGCAAATATCAAGTGCAATATGGTTTAAATATATTGCTTTGTTTTTGAAAAAATTAAGTGGGGGTCATACAGTGTGAAGAGATACAATGCTTTTTATTTATTTATTTACTTATTTACTTTCAGGAATCACTCCTGTCGGTTCTCGGGGGACCATATGGGATGCTGGGAATGGAATCCGGGTCGACTGTGTGCAAGACAAACGCCCTACCTTCTGTGCTATTGCTCCAGACCCAATATAATGCTTTTTAAAAAGCTTAACATGACACCAGATAAAACAGCCAGTAGAGTGCTTGTCTTGCATATGGCTGACATGGGTTCAATTTCTGGCATCCCATATGGTCCCCTGAGCACACCAGGAGTAATTCTTGAGAGCAAGTCCAGGAGTAACCCTTGAGCATCACCAGGTGTGGCCCCCAAACTAAAAATAACAAAACAAAATAAAAGAACAGAAGGTTTAACATCACAGGATGAAAGAGAATGCCTGATAAGTTTATTGGTTTCATCTTTATTTGTCATTCCCTTCTCTTTTCTTCTTGTTTTTTTTGGGGGGGGAGGGAGATTGAGGACACATCCAGCAGTACTCAGGGCTTATGAACTTACTCCAGGTTCTGTGCTCAAAAGTCCTTTGGGGACCATATATAATGCCTGTGTATGGACTGAACAGAGGTCAGTAGGTTCCTGAATTCCTGAACTCTCTCAGATCCCTCCTATTTTCTAACCTTAACTTTCTCTTTCTCTCTCCCTTTGCCTACCCTTCTCTACATTTTTCCTTCTTTGAAATAAAACAATCTGTTATTTGTTATTTAATTAGTAAATAGACAGAAACCAAACTCTGCAAACTCATATAATCATTTTCCTTGGTTCTCTATATTTTTCAAGGATGTTTAGGGTTTGTGGCAAGTTAAATAGTTAGAATTTTATTGTGAGTAAAATTCCAAGTACACAAATCTTACAAAAAACCATTTTTGTTATAATTCTCTTTAACATTTTTATTCATCCAATGGGAAAATTTTATAGGGACATAGTGTTCTATAGTGAAAAGTTATGGAGAAAAGTGGATCAGAGATTCATAAACTCAATTTTAGTGCTCTCATTGAGACAGACATAAAAGTTCTCTTTGTTCCGAGTTGTCACACTTTATTATTCGCCCACAAATACTGGCATCTATGTGGGAAAGAAGGAAGGGTTTCTGCTTGCTACGCTGCCCTGCATCTCTTTAACTTTTTACTTCATTTCATACTCTCCACAATTTCGTTTGGGCAAAAATTTATTAAATCAAATGGAAAAGGACAGAATGAACTGCATTAACAATCATATAAATGTTCTTTCACAAGCCAGCTTTAATAACCCATTTTATTTCCCTGTCCCAAGGGCTGGAAGTCAGCATTGCTGGGTTGTGAAACATAAGCACGGAGAGGGAAGGGACAAGTTCTGCTAAAACTTCCAGCCCTACTAGTGGGCAAAATTGAAGCATAACACAAGGTGGGGGGGGGGGGGGTGTCAAAGAGAAGTCTCAGTGGATTGGAGCACACGCTTTCAAGTGGGAGGCCTGGGCGCTAAGCTGGGGGTAAGTCATGAGCATGACTAGGCGTGGTTCCCAAACAAAAATAAACCAAAATTTACAAAGAGAGACATAAGGCCCTTGCAGTTAAATTATTTTCATATTCCTAATTACCCTCAGTTTGTCCTGGGGAGACATTTCCATCTAAGGGGTGCTCTATTCCAGCT